ACCTGATCATATAAACATGGATGACAACAATTAACCTGATCATATAAACATGGATGACAACAATTAACCTGATCATATAAACATGGATGACAACAATTAACCTGATCATATAAACATGGATGACAACAATTAACCTGATCATATAAACATGGATGACAACAATTAACCTGATCATATAAACATGGATCAGATCCTCACTTTTTGTTCCAAATCTCAGTGCAAAACTGAAATGAAGACTTAGATAACATGCAATTATTGGCTATGTTGGCTTCAATCTAATGTCATTAACTTGTATTAACTTATAGCACTCAGCTATAATCTAATTTAATTAACTTGTATTAACTTATAGCACTCAGATATGGTCTAATGTAATTAACTTGTATTAACTTATAGCACTCAGATATGGCCTAATGTAATTAAATTGTATTAACTTATAATAATCTTATGTTATTAACATGTATTAACTTATAGTTCGCAGCTATAATCTCATGTCATTAACATGCATTAAATTATAGTTCGCAGCTACAGTCTCGTGTCATTAACATGTATTAACTTACAGTTTGCAGCTATAGTCTCGTGTCATTAACATGTACTTACATATAGTTCGCAGCTATAGTCTCATGTAATTAACTTATATTAACTTATAGTACGAAGCTATAGTCCAATGTCATAAACATGTTTTAACGTTGAGCAAGCAGCTACAATCTTATATCATTAACATGTATTTACTAATAGCACGCAGCTATAATCTTATGTTATTAACATGTATAAATCATAGTTCGCAGCTATGATCTAATGTCATTAACTTGTATTAACTTATAGCACGAAGCTATAGTCTTATGTCATTAACTTGTACTAACTTATAATACGCATCTACAATCTAATGTAATTAACTTGTATTAGATTATAGCCCGCAGTTATAATCTTATGCCATTAACTTGTTTTATATTATAGCACGCAGCTATAGCCTAATATCCTTTATTTGTATGAACGTATAGCACGAAGCTGTAGTCTTATGTCCTTAAAATATATTAACTTATAATACGCAGCTAAAATCGTATGTTATTTAATTGTATTAACTTATAGCACGCATCTATAATCTTATGTCCTTAACATGTATTAAATTATGGCAAGCAGCTAAAATCTAATGTCATTAACTTGTATTAACTTAAAGCACTCAGCTATAATCTAATGTCATTAACTTAAATTAACTTATAGCACGCAGCTATAGCCTAACTTCATTAATTTGTATGAACGTATAGCACGAACGTATTATTCGCAGCTATGATCTTATGTCATTAACTTGCACTAACTTGTAGCACGCAGCTATATTCTTATATCTTTAACTTAAACTATAGCGCGCAGATATAGTCTTATGTTATTAACATGTATTAAATTATGGCACGCAGCTAAAATCTTATGTCATTAACTTGTATTAATTTATAGCACGCAGCTACAATTTAATGTAATTCATTTGCATTAACTTATAGCTCGCAGCTATAGTCTTATGTCATTAACTTTTATTAACTTATAGAACGCAGCTAAAAATCTAATATCATTAGCATGTATTTACTTATAGCACGTAGGTACAATCTAATGTCATTCTTTTGTATTGACCTAGAGCACTCAGCTATGATCTAATTTCATTAACTTGTATTAATTTATACTTCGCAGCTATAATCTTATGTCTTTAACTTGAATTAAATTATAGCGCGCAGCTATAGTCTGTTATATATATGTTATTGACTTGCATTAAATTCTGGCATGCAGCTACAATCTATTGTCAGTAACTTGTATTAACTTATAGCACTCAGCTATAGTCTAATGTCATCACCTTGTATTAACTTATAGTTCGCAGCCATTATCTTATTTCATTCACGGTATTAACTTATAGCACGCAGCTATAGTCTACTATCATTAACTTGTGTAATAACATATAGTGGGCAGCTATAATCTAATGTCATTTACCTGTATTACAACTATGCTATGATTAGACCTTCTTGGCCTGATTTCACACGACTAAATTAGATAAGACCCAAAAAATTGAAAAGCGAGAGGGTGGGGTTAGAAAGAGATAAAGTGGCTGGGGGGGGGGGGTAAAAAGAGTTAAAGTTGTACAGACTCATGTCGCGTCCACAGTCATGTTGTACGTGGGTTAAAACTCATGTTTTATGTGCGCACCAAATCATTTGTATGTGAGTTAACACTTATGTTGCATTTGGGCGCCCAACATATTGTACATGTGTACACACTCATGCCACATGTTGTTACTAATTATGTTTTACGTGTGTACAAACTCATGTTTTATGTGGGTGCCCAATCATGTTGTATGTTGAGACAAATGCATGTTCAATTAGGGAACACAATAATGTTGTATTTGAGTTCACACTCGTGTCGCATTTCTGTGCCCAATAATGTTGTACGAGATTTCACACTCATGTTGACCAATACTGTTGTACGTGAGTTCACACTTATGTCGTATGATTGCGACCAATCATGTTGTACATGGGTACACACTCATGTTGCCCAATAATGTTGTACGTGAGTTCACACTTATGTCGTATAATGGCGACAAATCATGTTGTATATGGGTACACACTCATGTTGCATGTGGGTACATATTCATGTTGAACGTGATTTGACAATTATGTCGCATGTGGGTGCCCAATCATGTTGTTCTTGGGTACATACTCATGTTGCATTTGGGAGCCCAATCATGATGTACATGGGTACACACTCATGTCGCATGTGGGTACACATTCATATTGTACGTGATTTCACACTCATGTCGCATGTGGGTACACATTCATATTGTAGTACTTTCAAACTCATCTCGCATTTGGGTACACATTCATATTGTACGTGATTTCACACTCATGTCGCATGTGGGTACACATTCATATTGTACGTGATTTCACACTCATGTCGCATGTGGGCGCCCAATCATGTTGTACGTGAGTTCACACTCATGTTGCATTCCGCGTCCAATTATGTTGTACATGGGTACACACTCATGTGTCATGAGGGTAAAAAATCATGTAGTATTTGAGTTCACACTCGTTTCGCATTTGGACGCCCAATCATGTTGTGAGTGAGTACACATTTATGTTGTATGAGGGTGCACAATCAGGTTGTACGAGAGTTCACACACCTTTTGAATGTGGGAACCCAATCATGTTGTATTTGGGTGACGAATAATGTTCTACGGGAGTTCAAACTCATGTAGCATGTGGGCGCCCAATCATGTTGTATTTGGGTGACCAATAATGTTCTACGTGAGTTCAAACTCATGAAGATTGTGGGCGCCCAATCGTGTTGTATTTGGGTGACCAATAATGTTCTACGTGAGTTCAAACTCATGTAGCATGTGGGCGCCCAATCATGTTGTATTTGGGTGACCAATAATGTTCTACGTGAGTTCAAACTCATGTAGCATGTGGGCGCCCAATCATGTTGTATTTGGGTGACCAATAATGTTCTACGTGAGTTCAAACTCATGTAGCATGTGGGCGCTGAGAACTGCTGTACGTGGCTACAAACTCATGTTTTATTTGGGGGCACCCATGTTGCGTGCACACCCCCTATCATGTTGAACGTGGCTACAAACTCATGTTTTATTTGGGCGCACCCATGTTGCGTGCACACCCCCATCATGTTGAACGTGGCTACAAACTCGTGTTTTATTTGGGCGCACCCATGTTGCGTGCACACCCCCATCATGTTGAACGTGAGTTCACACTCATGTCGAATGAGGGCGCCCAATTATATTGTAAGTTGGTACACACTCATGTCGAATGTGGGCTCCACATCATATTGTAAGTGAGTTCACACACATGTTACATGTGGGCGCCCAATACTGTTGTACGTGAGTTTACACTCGCGTCGCAATTGAACGCCCAATCATGTTGTACGTAAGTTCACACTCAAATTGCATGGGGTTGCACAATCATGATGCACGTGGGTACACAATCATGTTGCCTGTGTTTAAACATTCCTTTCATGTTCCTGGTTACAGTATGTGACTTGTTACAATATGTGGCGTGTTATAATATGTGGCTTGTTATAATATGTGACTTGTTACAGTATGTGACTTGTTACAGTATGTGACTTGTTACAGTATGTGACTTGTTACAATATGTGGCGTGTTATAATATGTGGCTTGTTATAATGCGTGGCTTGTTATATTATGTGGCTTGTTATAATATGTTGCTTGTTATAATGTGGCTTGTTATAATATGTTGCTTGTTATATTATGTGGCTTGTTATAATATGTTGCTTGTTATAATATGTTGCTTGTTATATTATGTGGCTTGTTATAATATGTGGCTTTGTATAATATGTTGCTTGTTATATTATGTGGCTTGTTATAATATGTGGCTTGTTATAATATGCTGCTTGTTATAATACGTGGCTTGTTATAATATGTTGCTTGTTATATTATGTGGCTTGTTATAATATGTGGCTTGTTATGATATGTTGCTTGTTATATTATGTGCCTGGTTAAAATATGTGCCTGGTTACAATATGTGCCTGGTTACAATATTTGTCTGTTTACAATATATGCCTGGTTACAAGATGTGTCTGGTTACAATATGTGCCTGGTTACAATATTTGCCTGGTTACAATATGTACCTATTACAATTTGTGCCTGGTTTCATATGTACCTGGTTACAATATGTGCCTGGTTTCAAAATATACCTGATTACAATATGAGCCTGGTTACAATATGTGCCTGGTTTCAAAATGTACCTGATTACAATATGTGCCTGGTTTTAATATATACCTGATTACAATATGAGCCTGGTTACAATATGTGCCTGGTTACAATATGTGCCTGACATCACAAAATCGGGTTAAATATTTTTATTATCTTATCTTTATTTCTTCTCAAAAAATCTTGTTGACTACTCAGCAAATTTGATTTGTATTTCTTGAACTATCACAGGACACGGCAAGTAGACAGGGGCATCCTCATCAGGTCTTTGAGGCGATGTGTCATGCTTTTTCTGGGGAAAAAGTTCGTGACAAAATAGATATAGTTCTTTAAACTCAAAGGCCTGACCTAAGTAGAACTGCACTGCTTTGGCCATTAACAGAAAGGCCTGACCTAAGTAGAACTGCACTGCTTTGACCACCAACAGAAAGGCCTGACCTAAGTAGAACTGCACTGCTTTTACCACCAATAGAAAGGTCTGACCTAAGTAGAACTGCACTGCTTTGACCACCAATAGAAAGGCCTGACCTAAGTAGAACTGCACAGCTTTGACCACCAATAGAAAGGCCTGACCTAAGTAGAACTGCACTGCTTTTACCACCAATAGAAAGGCCTGACCTAAGTAGAACTGCACTGCTTTTACCACCAATAGAAAGGCCTGACCTAAGTAGAACTGCACTGCTTTGACCACCAATAGAAAGGCCTGACCTAAGTAGAACTGCACTGCTTTTACCACCAATAGAAAGGCCTGACCTAAGTAGAACTGCACTGCTTTTACCACCAATAGAAAGGCCTGACCTAAGTAGAACTGCACTGCTTTGACCACCAATAGAAAGGCCTGACCTAAGTAGAACTGCACTGCTTTTACCACCAATAGAAAGGCCTGACCTAAGTAGAACTGCACTGCTTTTATCACCAATAGAAAGGCCTGACCTAAGTAGAACTGCACTGCTTTTACCACCAATAGAAAGGCCTGACCTAAGTAGAACTGCACTGCTTTGACCACCAAAAGAAAGGCTTGACCTAAGTAGAACTGCACTGCTTTGACCACCAACAGAAAGGCCTGACCTAAGTAGAACTGCACTGCTTTGACCACCAATAGAAGGGCCTGACACTGTTCTCCTTTGACCACCAATAGAAAGGCCTGACCTGAGTTTGTGGATTCTTATAAATGCATTTCTTCAACACCGACTTAGTGGCGCTGATCGAAATAAAAATGTCAAAACCGATGGTAAAGTAGACACAATGCCGCCACGCGTTTTAACAAAGATGAGATTGCCTTCCTCGATGTATGGTCGCCAAATATTTTGTAACGGTATAAGCAGAAAGGTATAATGGCCACGTCTCTCCTACTGCTCCACTCCAAGTCCTAAAGGAAGCACCAACTCCTGACAGAGTCACAGGCGTCGATCTTCACCGTAGAAATACCGTGTCCCAAATACGTTGTGCCAGCCACCAAACGCCCTCTCGTGACGTACGGATTCGTTGGCCCATCGACCTGGGAGGACAAAAAGTCTCATCTGTATAACAACGTAATGACCTGTATTTTGATAGTGCCTTAAATAATCGATGATTGCTAAAACTAAGGTCCACATGAACTGGGGGAGTTGAATGTTCTACTGTGTTCTTGAGGTGATTGCATGAACTGGGGAGCTGAATGTTGTACTGTGTCATTGTGGTGATTGCTAAAACTAATGTCCTCATTAACTGGGGAATTGAATGTCGCAGTGTATAATTGTGAAGCTGTAGTAATGCCCACACATTTGGTCCTCAGCTACATACGGACACTGTTGAATAATGGATCTTAACATACGGCGTTTTTTTACTGCATACTCAATAATTGGACGTGTAGTTGTGTTGATATGTGAAAATTTGAACGTGTAGACGTGTGAATGTGTGGACGTGTGAATGTGTGGATATGTTGATGTATGGACGTTTTCATGTTTGGACGTGTGAATGTGTGGACTTGTTGATGTTTGGACGTGTGAATGTGTGGACGTGTGAATGTGTGGACGTGTTAATGTGTGGACATGTTCATGTGTGGACGTGTTTATGTGTCGACGTGTTGATGTGTGGAATTGTTAATGTGTGGACGTGTTGATGTGTGAATGTTTGGACGTGTGAATGTGTGGACGTGTGAATGTGTGGACGTGTTGATGTGTGACACGTGTGAATGTGTGGATGTTTAAATGTGAAGACGCGTTGATGTGTGGATGTGTGAATGTTTGGATGTGTGATTGTGTAGATGTGTAAATTTGTGGATGTGTAAATCTGTGGATGTGTGGACGTGTTAATGAGTGTATGTGTGGACGTGTTGATGTGTGGACGTATGAATGTGTGTATGTGTTAATGTTTGGAGGTGTGAATCTGTGGACGTGTGACTGTGTGGACATGATGATGTACGTACTTGTTAATTTCTTAATGTGTGAATGTGTGGAAATGTTATGTATTTATATTTGAATGTGTGGTTTTATAAATGTGTGGACGTTTGAATGTGTGGGCGTGTTGTTGTGTGGATGTTTTAATATGTGGAAGTATTGATGTACATACTTGCACATTTGTTAATGTGTGAATGTGTGGAAATGTTATGTATGGATGTTTGAATTTGTGAATGTGTGGACGTTTGAAATTGTGGACGTGTTGGTGTGTGGACGTTTAAATGAATGAATGTGTTGATGTGGGGACGTGTGAATGTGTGAATGTGTTGATGTGTGGACGTTTGAATGTGTGAAAACTTTGAGGATTTGACGTGTAAATGTTAGAATGTGCTAATGTGTGGACTTGTGAATGTGTGGACATTTAAATGTGTGGGCATGTTGATGTGTGGACATGTTGATGTGTGGAAGTGTGAATGTGTGGAAGTGTGAATGTGTGGATGTGTTGATGTGTGGAGGTGTGAATGTGTTGATGTGTTGATGTGTGGATGTGTTGATGGTTTGATGTGTGGATGTGTGAATGTGTGAACCATTGAATATGTGAATGTGTGGACGTTTAAATGTGTTGACGTGTGAATGTGTGGATGTGTGAATGACTGGATGTGTGAATGTGTGGATGTACGAAATCATTTTGTCATCTGGTGGTCTCTGGGATTGTTTTCGATCGAGGCATATTAAAGATTCCATGGTAATCTTACTATACAAGGTTGGTCAGTCACTCGTATAAATCCCGTGGTACTCTCATTTCAATCTAAACATATTAAGATCATCCCAGTGGCTTTATTGTCTAATTTCTTATAGCCTTGGGATTCTGTCATTACTTAAAACGTATGGTCCTAACATTACTTACAAACTGAGGCTTTGTCATTACTGAGAGCCTGGGGCTTTGTCATTACTTACAGCCTAGGTCTATGACATTACTTACAGCCTAGGTCTCTGTCATTACATACAGCCTAGGTCTCTGTCATTACTTAAAACCTAGGTCTTTTTATTTACTTACAGCCTAGGTCTCTGTCATTACTTATTTCTTAGGGCTCTGTCATTACTTACAGCCTAGGTCTTTATCATTACTTACAGCCTAAGTTTATGTCAATACTTACAGCCTAGTCTATGTCATTACTTACAGCCTAGGTCTCTGTCATTACTTACAGCCTAGGGCTCTGACATTACTTAAAGCCTAGGGCTCTGTCTTTACTACAGCTTAGGGCTCTGTCATTATATACAGCTTGAGGTCATTTTGTTATCGCTACTTACTTAGATCATCCAAAGTGATCCGTCGGTCAACCCAATGATGTGGTCTCCTCATGTAGTTGGTGGGCATCTGGATGTAGTTGGGGGAGAAGTACGGCTGCTCAAACATGGTGCAGTCTCCAAGTGGCCGCATGTGTCTGCAGGAAACAAATAAATCTTAAGACGCCATCAGCCCATGAGAGGGTCGCATAGGTCTTTCTTATTTTATGCCTTATTTTGTATTAGTTACTTACACCAATAAACAAGGAAGGCCCATTTCAGTCTAGTCTCTGAACATTGTTGAAATATATGAGGGTATTAGAAAATGGGACTCCCCAAGGGATAGAACTCCTATTCCGGATTATTATGCTAACGACAAGATTGTAATAATCAGTGATTGTAATCACTTTAATTAGTGACGACACAGGCTTATTTTTCAAAACATTTTTTTACGAATTTGAAGACTGCTGTTATGGGAATTATATTTCCCCAAAATGTATCCGCTGATTCAAAAAAGTCTAAAATGCTTGTATGCTATCCAAACGTTTTTATGTTAATACTGGTAATTGTCCGATTCTTTTTTTCATCACAATTCAGTCTTCCAATATTTTTCAAGAGACTTTTGAGTACCATCAATTGCACAAACAGCCTTGAACAGTATAATAATCACAGTGGATTTAGATAGAGGTCAAACTAAGTAAGACAGAAGTGCACGCTGAGGACAGAAGTGGATGCTGAGGCCAGAAGTGCATACTGAGGAGTGAAGTGCATGCTGAGGACAGAAGTGCATGCTGAGGCCAGAAGTGCATGCTGAGGACAGAAGTGCATGCTGAGGCCAGAAGTGCATGCTGAGGACAGAAGTGCATGCTGAGGACAGAAGTGCATGCTGAGGCCAGAAGTGCATACTAAGGAGTGAAGTGCATGCTGAGGACAGAAGTGCATGCTGAGAAGGACAGAAGTGCATGCTGAGAAGGACAGAAGTGCATGCTGAGGACAGAAGTGCATGCTGAGAAGGACAGAAGTGCATGCTGAGAAGGACAGAAGTGCATACTGAGGACAGAAGTGCATGCTGAGGCTAGAAGTGCATACTAAGGAGTGAAGTGCATGCTGAGGACAGGAGTGCATGCTGAGAAGGACAGAAGTGCATGCTGAGAAGGACAGAAGTGCATGCTGAGGACAGAAGTGCATGCTGAGAAGGACAGAAGTGCATGCTGAGAAGGACAGAAGTGCATGCTGAGAAGGACAGAAGTGCATGCTGAGAAGGACAGAAGTGCATGCTGAGGAGGGTAGAGCAGGATGAAGAGAGAAGTGCATGCTGAGAAGGACGTAAGTGCATGCTGAGAAGGACGTAAGTGCATGCTGAGAAGGACGTAAGTGCATGCTGAGAAGGACGTAAGTGCATGCTGAGAAGGACGTAAGTGCATGCTGAGAAGGACGTAAGTGCATGCTGAGAAGGACGTAAGTGCATGCTGAGAAGGACGTAAGTGCATGCTGAGAAGGACGTAAGTGCATGCTGAGAAGGACGTAAGTGCATGCTGAGAAGGACGTAAGTGCATGCTGAGAAGGACGTAAGTGCATACTGAGAAGGACGTAAGTGCATGCTGAGAAGGACGTAAGTGCGTTGCTTCAGCAAAAATACTTTAAAAAACATCCCACACGCAAAATGTGTTTTAAGTTATTTATTTTAGATGACGTCATTCAGTCTTCGAATTCGTTGGCTCCGCCCATGGAGGGGTTAATGTAAACAAACAAGAAGTTATGCGTCAGTTAGTGTCATGGTCTTTATGGGAATTGAAATCAAGCAATCAAATATAATTAAAAAGAGGATCTTTTTTATACTTCTGTACATTTTTCCAGATTAAAAAAATAATTTAAACAAAAACTGAATTTTTACCAAAGCAGCTATTAGTTTTAATTTGCAGTACTTATTCAGCGCTTGGAATCATTAGTGTTAGGGTTGGCAGATTTGAGGGGGACAGGGGAACACAATTCATGGATGCTTTCTCTCTCTTTCTCTCTCTCTCTCTCTCTCTCTCTCTCTCTCTCTCTCTCTCTCTCTCTCTCTCTCTTCAGGCTACAATATATTATTGAGCCGTTGTACATCAGAGTTACAGCGCGAATAAATGATACACTAAATAGTTACAACTCTTGATAAATGAAACCCCTAATCATTAAAACCAAGACATTCACTATAGATCTGTGTCTTTGTCAAACACGTGCACGAAACACGGTTTCCTTAAAAGCAAATGATTCATTAACATGGACACAATTTAACATAATAAAATATCAATTTTGTTTTAGAAGCCACCAGTGAATATCTATAAATATGTATATTTTTTTTAAGTACCCGAAATCTCTAGTGGCCACTGCGGACTGCCTAGTTTCACGACATTGGAGCACGCCCGTCTGGTTGTGCTGTGTATAATTAAAGCGATAGTTCGCCTCCTGGCGTCGCACTGGGATATAATGGGTCATTCCAGAGGTCTCTCGTGTCTCTACGTATTAAAGTTCAAGGAGATGTTGTTGTTCTTTTTGTTTTTAACTCAATGACTTATTAGCCTTTATGTACCTGGCTGCCTGTGTATATAAAGTTATTCAAGACCCATAAAATGTGCTAGTTGATTAGCTATATTTATTTTTCAATTTCATCATCAGCTTTATATGCCAACTTATATAATCCTATTTGTTGAAAAGCCAATGCGGCGTTACGAAATTGCCAGAGACCCTGTGATTACGACCGGCTCATCTCTCTGTATTGGAAGGACATGAATGGATGTTTCTGGGGGGTATCGTGTGACAAGTCGAAGCCTAGTTTCCTCGTAAGGGTTAGCTCTGTAAAATAAAAATTCAAGTTTAAAAAGTTTTCGTATAAACCTGTACAAAGCAGAGCTTATTTAAAGTATGTATTGCATTAGTATTAAATTATTTTTTTTTAAACAAATTTTTTTTTGAGATTGTCAAAAAACCGTTTCAATTCCATTTTTAATAACAAAAGCGTATTTAACAACTTGACTTTTCAACAAACTGCAATTGCTGACGAGATTTTCTCCATTTTCTGCTTTGTTAACGATTCATGGGCGTTTATCTTTTTGCTTTTTACTTACTTAAAGAACACCTTATGGAACTTTGTCTAAACTTACGTTTGTGTGCCCAAAATAAAATCCGAAGGTTCGGGTTCCGAACTGTAAATTGACGGAAAAAACCGAACATCGCATTGGCGGGCCATAATACTTTTTCTAACTCATCTACCAAATACAATAGAGGCAATAATAGGTGTAAAAACTTGGAATGACCATTCCCCTGGCCTCTGTAAGGTAAGACTGAGGCCCCACACAAGTTCTAGTGCTCCTTTTTGTCACCTCTAACCAGCCATTTTCTTCATGCGCGCAACGTCATTTCCGTTCACGGAACTCCCTTTTTAGCATTTTTGATCGGTGGCAGACATATAATGTCATCGCTAGTGTCTTTGTGGTGCATCTTTGATCGGTGGAAGACATATAGTGTCAGCGCTGGTGTGTTTGTGGTGCATCTTTCATCGGTGGCAGATATATAATGTCAGTGATAGTGTCTTTGTGATGCATCTTTGATCGGTGGCAGACATATAATGTCAGTGCTAGTGTCTTTGTGATGCATCTTTGATCGGTGGCAGACATATAATGTCAGCGCTAGTGTCTTTGTGATGCATCTTTGATCGGTGGCAGGCATATAATGTCAGGGCTAGTGTCTCTGTGATGCATCTTGTTGAGAGTAGAGAGCAATCACTGCACAATGTGCTAATTAAACAACCCCTAAAAAAAAAAGCAGAAGTAGAAGCAGCAGTCCAGGCACTCCAAACAGGAAAGGCCGCAGAAGTGGATAATATCCCTGCCGAGTTGATGAAACAATGAGGAGAAGCAATGATAAGTGCACTATTCAATATTTGTAACAAAATCTGGCTTACAGGAGAATGGCCCAAACCATAGACCCAATCACTCATCGTCACCCTCCCCAAAAAGGTAACCTACAGCTATGCCAAAACTATCGCACACTTAGCCTAATAAGCCATCCAAGCAAGGTTATGCTGAAGGTCATAATGAACCGACTAAAACCATATGCCGACAGAATCATTGCTGAAGAACAGGTGGGCTTGAAGGCAAGGACGGGGCTCTACTGAGCAGATTCTAAACCTCCGAATACTGTGTGAGAAATATGCTCAACACCAACTAAACCTATACCACGTCTTTGTTGATTTCAAGAAAGCATTTGACAGGGTTTGTCATGCTGCTTTATGGGCTACCATGAGGCCCTACAACATCAACACAAACCTCACCACCATAATATGCAACCTCTATGATAAGGCCACCAGTGCATTCTTCCTCAACAACAACATTGGAGAATGGTTCAAGACCCCGGTTGGAGTACGACAAGGCTGGCTGGGAACGAAGAAGAGCTAGCCAACCTGGTAAAGCGTCTCGATAAGACCTCGTCGTCCTACGGCATGCTAATCAGTGTCGAAAAGACAAAACTGATGACAAATTATAACCGCAGGCATCACCAATGAAATCAAAGTCGGGGAGACAGATTAGAGACTGTCGGCCGCTTCAAATACCAAGGAGCAATAGTCCCAGAAGAAGGCTCCAAGCCCGAACTCATGTCCAGGATTGTGCAGACTACAACAGCACTAAAAAAGCTCAAGAAAATATGGAATCACAAAAATATAGCACCCAGCACCAAAATGAGGCTGTTGCGCTCATTAGTCCTCTTAATTTTCCTGTATGCATGCGAATCCTGGACATTAACAGCCGAATTTGAAAGGAAAATGATGGCGATGGAGATGAGATGCTTCAGAGGCATTTGTGGCATCTGCTATAGGGACCATATCTCTAATGATACAGTGAAAGAAAGGGTTCGTCAGGCATTGAGGAGTACGATGACCTACTGGTGACTGTGAAAAAACGCAAATTACAATGGTACGGCCACGTAAGAAGGAAACAAGGGCTTGCCAAAGAAATATTGTAGGGCACCACAAGAGGAGGGAGAAGAAGAGGGAGACAAAGAAAAAGGTGGGAGGATAACATCAAGAGTGGACAGGACTAACACTGGGCGATGCAGTGCGCAGTGCTGAAGACAGAGAGGAATGGAGGAGGATGGTTCACATGTCATCTAGGGCACCCCAACGGTCCAAGGACTAAGGGACATGAGGATGAGGAATATCGAGCAATTGAGGAGGTTGGGGCTGAACATTTGACAGAAGATGCATTCAAGGAACGCACTTTATTTGAATTCCAATGAGTGATTCCCCCCTCCCCCAAAAAACTCGCAACAATTTTTTTTTTCTCGCCCCTGAACTAAATTAAATTCAAATGACCCACCCGCTAATGCACCGTAATTTATTTCATAAACTATTTCAGAATAACAAAAGAAAAAAATTACACACCAACCGATATTTTTAAGAATCTCCTTTAGCGGGCATTTTTTCCTGAACTCAGTGGCACTTGGTAGCTTTAAAACTGATCTTTGGGGGATGGAGGTAGGGGTTTGAGCTATCAAAATGAGGAAAAAAAATGTTTTGACACTACAAATGAGTCTATGTATAACATTTCAGCTCAGTAGGAGGACAGAAAGTGTGCCGATTAGAGTCTATGTATCAAATGTCAACTCAGTAGGAGGACAGAAAGTGTGCCGATTAGAGTCTATGTGCCGAGTGTCAACTCAGTAGGAGGACGGAATGTGTGCCGATTAGAGTCTATGTTCCGAGTGTCACCTCAGTATGAGGACATAAAGTGTGCCGATTAGAGTTTATGTGCCAAACGTCAACTCAGCGGGAGGATGGAAAGTGTGCCGATTAGAGTCTATGTGCAGAATGTCAACTCAGCGGGAGGATGGAAAGTGTGCCGATTAGAGTCTATGTGCAGAGTGTCAACTCAGCGGGAGGACGGAGAGTTCGCCTATTAGCCAAGAAAGAAGCTGATATAAAGGAATTGTCTTAATGTCTCTCCAATGATTTTTTTAACTTAATTATTCACTTTTTATTCTTCGTGTATGGTCCATTACAAAGTTATCTGGAAAGTTTAACAATCCAGTGAGACCAGTTAAAACTAAAGATGGGAAATCAATTCCTTCTTCTTCTTCTTCTTCTTTATTTTAAGGGCACACGATCAATGAATTGATCATTCTGGCTCCTATGTTTCAGAGAGGTTTGCGATGTTACTGTCCATGGGTTTCAATGGGATACTTCACTGGTTGCAAGGGCGACTCAGCAGTGGTGTTATGAACTGGGGGTTGGAATACAGGAGGCAATAGACACAAATGTATCGAGTGTAGCCGCCTCAACTGTTGCTTTTGGAAGCTTGTTCCAGTCCCCTATTGTCTTCGGCAGGAATGAGGAGCTTCTGTACTTCGTTCTTGTTTTTACCAGCCGGAACTGTTTGTCGTGACTTCGTCGCAGTCTGGGGGGAAGATTAACGAGTTTCTGTTTGATTCCGGAGCAGTGCACCAGTCCATTTGTTATCTTGTACAACATGGTGAGCCTGGATAGTCGTCGTCGTTCTTCCAATGTCGACCAGCCCAGTGTTTCCAGCATGCTGCCAACACTCGAGGTGCTTCTGTAGCGGTTCATGACAAAGCGTGCTGCCCGTCGCTGGACCGCCTCCAACCTGTCTATGCTTTTCTGGGTAAATGGGTCCCAGACTGTAGAAGCATACTCTAAAATAGGTCGGACAAAGGCTTTATAGGCTTTTTCTTTCACGCTTGAGTTGCCGATCTTCAGATTGCGCCTTAGGAACCCCAGGGTCTTGTTTGCCCGGTTGCACACACTGTTAATGTGCTCACCCCAGCGGACCTCTCTTTGGATGGTAACACCCAAGTACTTAACGGAGGAAACTGGCTCAAGAATATGGCCATGCAGCTCGTAAGAGTGGTTTAGAGGGAACCTGCTTCTGGAGACTGACAGGGTTTGGCACTTGACGGGATGAAATTCCATGTCCCAGCTTATCTCCCACTCAGCTAACCGATTGAGGTCTTGTTGAAGCTGGCTCTGGTCCTGATGAAGAGGGTCAGAAAAAAAGATGGATAGAACATTTTGAAGAACTCCTCAACCGGCCAGCACCACAACACACACTCACCATAGAGCCAGCGGAAAAAGCTCTAGAAATAGATTGCAGCACACCCACAAAGCAAGAAATATGCAGAGCAATTAAACAACTAAAGAAAGGCAAGGCGGCAGGTCCAGACAGAATAATGGCAGAAGCCTTGACAGCAGATATTGCGACTAGCACTGAAATGCTACACAGACTATTCAAGAAAATATGGGAGGAAGAACAGATACCGATTGAATGGAAAGAAGGACACCTGAGTCTTCTCCCGAAGAAAAGAGACCTTAGTTCTTGTTCTAAATATAGAGCAATAACCCTGCTGTCCATCCCAAGCAAAGTATTCAACAGAATGCTACTAAACAGAATGAGGGAGGCAATAGACATCAATCTTAGGGACCAACAAGCAGGGTTCAGAAAATACAGATCCTGCAGTGACCAGATTGCCACACTGAGAATTATTGTGGAACAATCTGGAGTGAAACTTACCATTATGGGTCAAGTTCATTGACTATGAGAAGAATCTTGAAAGTGCCGACAGAGAGACTATGTGGACGCTGCTTAGACACTAATGGGTACCACACAAGTTGACAGACATAATTAAGGCTTCTTACGAAGGACTATCATGCAGAATTGTCGACGGAAAACAAACAACTGCGGCTTTTGGGGTACAGACCGGTGTCAGAGGTGTCTGCTCTCGCCTTTCTTATTCCAGCTGACCATTGATTGGATAATGAAAAGGTCTACAGAGCAGGAGAGAAATGGTATTCAGTGGACACTATGGAAACAGCTTGATGACCTGGATTTTGCGAATGATCTGGCCCTAATATCACACACACAGACATCCATAGAGGAAAAAGCAAAGTCCTTACAATAAATACATCAAGCAACACACCTATAGCACTGGAAGGAACAAACCTTGAAGAGGTGGTTAGCTTTACATACCTCGGCAGCATCATTGACATACAAGGAGGGACAGACGCCGACATAAGAGTAAGAGTTGGTAAGGCAAGAGCGGAATTTAACTAGCTAAAAAAAAGGTCTGGAGTGCAGCAATTTGACCCTCCAGACCAAGGTCAGGATATTCTACACCACAGTGAAACCTGTCTTGCTATATGGAGCAGAAACATGGCAAACAACAGCAGCTGGTTCTAAAAAGCTACAGACGTTTATCAACTCATGTCTCCGAACGATTTTACGAATCCGCTGGCCCAACGTCATCACCAACGAGGATCTCTGGCGGCGCACACAACAAGAACCCGTGGAAAAGTTAGTCTGCCAGCGCAGATGGAGAT